CCCGTGGTCGTCAAATCTCACCACTTATGGCCACGATTCTCAATCCGCGTCAGTTCTGGTCAAGTCTCGACATCAACAGCTGCGCTGCGTGGGGGGAACACAGCCCAACACAACAAAGTAATAAAACTTGGGATCAAGACACAAACCCATAAATAAATCAATAAAAACAACCGTCTAAGGAATAAATAAAACACTCCCGTCAGCAGAGACGCAGAGTAACAATATCATAACTCTCACTTGACAGCGTTAATTACGCGGCTCACATTTCAACCACAAGCGAAGGAACGCCATTCGGGTATCAGCGCCACACAAAGGCAAAGCAGGATTCTGACAGCTCATGACTACTGGAAGCAGAAGACCGATCAATAAAGCAGAGAAGCTGGCAGTCGCGCAGCTGGTGAAAAGACCCGTCTTCGCTGCTCATAACCCACAACCCCTTGTCGCCTGTCACTGACTGCGGAATTCCCGCACTTGAATTGCCCGTTTTCAGCCCCAGGCCTGTTACGGTGTCCCGCATGACAGACCACTCGCCCATTGGCTTGCTAAAGGACAAATTCAAACCGGATTCTTAACCAGAACATTCGATGGCCGTGGTTTCCCCCAGTTCGCTCCGTCCGTCAATTGTTTAGAGGATTTTTTTTCGTCAAGCCTCTGCAACCAGACCAGCTCTGGCGTCCACCCAGGGCCCTATCTAATGGGTCAAAGCGCGGCCGGAGCGTGACGCTGGTCACTCATCCCCATCTAGTTCCGAGGTCAAGAATGAGTACGAGCTATACACCACCTCTCCCTCCAAGCGCCTACGTGGCGAAAAGTGGGACAGCTTTTATACTACGGCTCCCGCAGACAGGCCGGCCTGTTCACGCCAACAACCTTCCGTACTTACCGATTTGCTCCTCTGTCGGGTGACCACAGCAACTCACTTCATCCGTTTCATTCCACGCCGGCGTAAAGCGTCGATATTTCACCCAAGCGTTCTTAACGACACGCGGCTCTGAGCGCGGACTACAACCAACCGATTCTGAGGTACCTCAAAATACCAAATTTAACATAAATACAATGGCAGTTTCGGCGTCACTGACCGACAGA